CAGTTTTTATTTTTGAAAGAATCAGCGTGATGCTGGGTGAAAGCTGGCTTAATTTGCTCTAAATACCCAAACTAACAGTTGTTAAAACAGCTGTCCCCTCTGTATTTGTTACATGGAAACATTACTGCTATTGTAAGGCTAAGCAGATAAATTGTTCAACAAATGACATTTAATTGAATTAGACTTGAAAAAAAAAAATACATTAACGTTATGTTGCATTTTGGAGGGAAGGGATCATTTTTAGAAATCTATTTTTAATGAAAAATTAGAAATGTAAAGGGAAATATAAAAAAAATAAAAAAAATCAATGTATTGCCATTCCCAGGGAACACAGAAAAAGGTGAATAAAAAGCATCATGTGATTAGAAGGCTTAACATGATGCTAAGTGCAGTGCTTTTTCCTTATCCTACCCAGCCACTCCATTTCACGTTTTTTAGTTGTTGTTTTTAATGGTTGCAATTTTTCAGCAATTTTAGAGTAGCTAACAGTGAGTAGGCCTCTTGGTGTTGCAATGGTAAATGTCACTCTTCTGTCAATTCAGAAATGAGTTGAGATGATGACAGACTCTTAAGTCACATAAAAACTGCAAAATGAGAACAATTTTCAGAATGATGAACTTCGTCTGGATTTGTACGTTCTAAAACCCTATCTGTAATCTCATGAATTATCTGACATGACATCGAAAGATGACAGCGTACTGTTACAATACTTTTTCTTCTCATTTCTTTCCTAGTATGAAGCAAGGGCTCGACTAGAAAGACTTTCTGGAAGCTCATCTATAAGTTCAGCTGACTTATTTGAAGATCAGAAAAAACAACCAACAGGTACATATTGAACTGAGTGAGAAACTGTACCATGTGGCGAATACGACCCCGTACTCTGTTTCTAGTTACGGTATCAGCCAGCTGTCACTGTATTCTGCAAGAACTGTACAAAAGTGCAGTATGCATTAGTATTGCTAATAAGTCAAACAAGCATAACTGGTGTAGTCATTCTTTTAAAAAAAATAATTTCTTAAAGTTCTGTATTTTCAGTTCAATAAGTTCAATATTTTATACTTATAAATATTTTTTATTTTATTAATAAAATATATTTTTAAATGTGACTTATTGCAAATAATAGACTCACTATATTGTAAATAATTTTTATAAAGGGAAAAACTGTAATATTTTGTTATAAAACTAAATGAGGTAACACCTAAATTGGCTATCAGGTAGCTTTTTTGATAAGTTGCCGTAAGTAAGTTACATGTTTATATATATATGTAAATACCTGTCATAATAGTACTGAATGTAAGAAGAATCTTTAGTAAAATGTTAGTGGCCTTGAAATTCCCATATAATCTGTTGCATGGCGTAGCCATTCATCAGGATATCTGCTACTAAAACTGGTCTTGCCAAATTATTAAGGAAATTTTTTGATTGGTTTGTATGTTTAAAAGATTTGTTGGAACACTTTACATTGCAGAGTATAGTTCATCAGATTAGAAGGGAAGAAGTATTAGATTGACTGAAAAGTAACCCATTAGGCTATTGAAAATTTCTTGTGTTTTTTTTTTCCAACACCCTTTTTAGTGCGATAATGTGAAATAGAAAAGGTAGGAAATACTGTAACATTTTATTGACTTGATCAGTTGGGTTTCATTCCTTAACTTGTGAAGAAATGGAAAAAAAAAAGAATTACTAAAGAACTTGAAATCTGTGAGTAATTATATAAAAAGGCTGGAAAAACAAACAGTGTACAGCATCCAATTTTACTTTGGAAAAATTGTAGGGGGGAAAAAAACCATGTGACTGTTCAGTTTTGATCCCCTGAAAGCAAGTTTTGCATACACTGACTAGTAGAGAAATAACTCCTGTTACCAGTTACTTAAGATGTATTTTAGTCAATTGAAATGTAAAAAAAAAATGAGGGGAGGAGGCACAAAGCAGAAATCACAGTAATGTACTTTAGCCACTTGAGTCTTTGCACCATGGTGTTACACTTGTGCTTAAAAAAGATGAGGTGAACATAAGCAAAGAAATGTGGTGTTTCTTTCTGAATTTGTAAACTGTTTTCAATAATACATGGAATTGTGATAACAAATGTTATTTTGTTATCTATCTCTTGTTGACTAGAACTTCATCCTTTTTCTTTTAATTTTCTTATATAGAAATTATTTTATATGGAATTAATTAATTTTTCCTTTAATTTGTGTAATATGTGTAGGACTTTTACACAGTAATGGATAAGAGAATAAACTAGGAAACGGTAAATATAAGTTAAAGATGGGGCGAACTGTGTGATGTGATTTTTATATATATATCTGTGTGTGTGTGTGTGTTTATATATATATATAAATGTGCCTTTCTATGCACACATACATATATATGATATAATTCTCACTGTATTCTGAATAAGGATACTTACAGGCAATTATATAATGTTTACTATGTGTATGTGAATTATGCACACGCGATTATTCATCACTGACCACTTGGAAAGGTTCTTGGAGCTTGTAGGGGAATGCAGAGACTCTTAATCATGGGATGAAAAGATACCTGCCCATGACTTGAGGTTAGTTATTCTGTCTGACTGGCAAGTAACCCAACAGTAAATTTAAAATTATATTACAGAGACTAAACTTCTGCTAAATTTCGTGGGTTATTAACTGCTCTAAAATACGTGATGAAAAAATACAACAGGAATTATTAGTTTGTATATTATGGATTCACACTATGTTCAATCTGCATAATCTTTCTTTCCTGCATGTCTTTCTGTTACACCCTCTATCCCAAAGACCATCTTTTGACAGTGGCTCTTCTTAGAGAAATTTTATTGCACTGATAGCTTGTCTGGTGTTGAATTAATGCCAAGGCCACATTAGTTCCATAAAATAAAGGTAATCAGGAGGCTGGCAACAAAAACGCTGCTGTAATTCTGGGGTCTTTGCCAGAATAAAATGTGCTTTGAGTCTAAAGTTGGTTTTGTAAGCACTACTATTTTAGAGTAGAACAGTTTTGGGATGCTTGCTTTTGTACAGAATGCTATAGGAGCTATTTAACTAAAAGAGGGGGCTGCAAGAAAGTGCTTTTAATTTGCATTATTTCGGACCTGTTGCTTATGGAAGATGGCTTGTCAGACAGCTGACTCGTAGATGCTGCTTTTGAAGGAAATCACAAGAAAAGGAGTTACTTTCCTTCACATTTACAAGAAGTTTTTCAGACAACCAGATCTAACCAGAAAAACATGAGAAAATGAATGTGGCTAAGAAGTGGTTAGAAGTGGTCTTCTCTGCAAATTTTATTTCCATGACTCTGACTTTAATAACAAAAATGCCGAAGCATTTGATAAGTGAAACGGGTCATAAGGAAGTCAAAATTACAGTTGAGAAATAAGGCTGCCTTGGTGGTAATGAATTTTTGAAAATAATCTATAAACAAGTGTGTCCATGCACTGTAGAAACAGCTTCTAGCCGGTTTTAAAGAATGGAGTGGGAAGCTCTCTGAATATGACTATGCCTCTGCCACGACGAACTAGCCACTTAGCTTAGGTAAGGGTGACGGAGCACTGGGACAGGCTGCCCAGAGAGGTTGTGGAGTCTCCATCTCTGGAGATGTTCAGAACCCACCTGAACACTTTTCTGTGCAACCTGGTGTTGGGAACCTGCTTTGGCAGGGGGGCTGGACTAGATGATCTCCTGAGTTCCCTTCCAACCCCGACCATTCTGTGATTCTGTAAATCGCATTATCTACAGTAATGTCTTTCTCAACCTGCTAATGAGGCAGGTGCCTTTAATTTCCCATGGAAAGAGGAGCTGCAGTTTCTCTCTCTCTTCCTCCTCCACCCTGTTCAAAAGGAAAAAAGAAGAAAAGTGTAAAAGTTCCCTGCTGATGGCAGGGAGGTTGGAACTAGATGATCTTTAAGATTCCTTCCAACCCAAACCATTCTATGATTCTGTGTATGGAGCTGCTGTCAAAAGGAGTTACAGTTGTGCAGGTTGTGGAGTCTGGCTCGATAAGCTTCTCTGAGGTTCAGTAACTGCTCACAAGTTGTGTCCCAACTGGTCAGGACTATCCGTTAGCTACCTGGCTAAATTGAGGCTACAGATTGCAGGCTCCTTTTTGAAACTGGTCTGTTATGGGATGCTTCCTCTCAGGAACCCCATTTATTCCCAAGATTGTAGTTCTGTGATGCTGGTTTACTGCCATTTGTGCCTTTTACAGTATCAGGTATTTAATAGTAAGGCATGCCAGTAATTTTTTTTGCAAATGAGTGGGTGACTGTAATTGTTAGCATGTTAATACTTATCATGCAGTTAGTTTTGAAACAGCTTTGATTTTTATTATCTTTAGGCCAATGCTTTTCGTAATGGTAGAGCTAACACTGGCCTACCTATATTGGCTTTAAGGAAGGCTGGATTGGCAGCTTTCTTTGGGAGTTTAAAAACTTGCTTATCTTTATTATGATTTCTATAGAATTTTCTAAATCTCAGATGTGGTAATGCGAAATATGTGTGTATATTCAGCCTGCAAAGTGTATCTGTGCATGCACACAAAGAGGGTTCATCACTTCAGCCACCACTGAAGTGCATTCATCTTTAAATTGCAAGGTAGTGACAGCTGTTTAGGATACAAGACAAATAACACTGCAGCAGATCGAAAGTGCAGAATAAATCATATATTATTCAAATATATGATGGGAATAACAAGTGTAGAAGAGGACGGTCTAAGTGGAATTACGGACAACTGAAAAAAATTAAAAGGAAGATACATTTAAGAAATTTGAGCTCTATGCTTAGTGTTGTTTACAGTGCCAATCATTGTTACTTAGTGCTCCGAGCAGTATATTGTACTTCAGGTGAAAAAAAAGGCTGCCTTTAATATAAAATTATATTTTCTTGTGCGTGTGTGTTCTCCTTTTAGGAAGCTACAATATTACAAATGTCTTGCCTTCAGCTCCTGATATAGCTCAGTTTAAACAAGGAGTGAAATCGGTGGCTGGAAAACTTTCTGTACTTGCTAATGGGGTCATGACATCTATACAGGTTAGTAAAAATATTACAATATATTAACCATCAGATAAAGTCTTTTTGTAAAGATTTGGTGTCATGGATCCTGTCATTGAATCATCTTTAGGAAGAAAGAATGAATTTGGTTTTGACCTTTATAGACCTCTCATGGTAGGCAGTAAATCTTTGTCTTTTTACCAATGTAGCTGATAGCTCACCTTCCTTAGAATGTCTTTTTTGCCTTTTCCCTTAATATAGTTTATTTATTTTCTTACAATTTGAACGAAAATTCCATCGTGGAAGTTATTTGCTGTCATTTTACTTTTAAAGTAATAGTAGTTCATAATGCAGAACAGAGTAGTTTAGTTGGAAGGGACCTACAGTGATCACCTAGCCTAACTCTTGTTCTGGCTCTTTAATTGACTCAACAGTCAATTTGTGTTTGATTCATGTTTGTGCATGAAATTAAGACATCCTGGTCTTGATGTAAAGCAGGCTTCACCCTCTAGTTAGTTTGCATATCCTGTGCAAGGTCAGTGGGAGCTCTTGGGTGTTTGAAAATCGGGCTAATTATCCTGGAGTTTCACCATAAACTCCAGTTCTTGGAAGCACCGGTCAATTTTCTTTAAGAATTAAACTACTGTTTATTTTACAAATGTAAATAAAACTAATTTCTTTCAGTGGAAAACATACTCATGTCTGTCTTTTTTTTTTTTTTTTTTACTTTTCTAGGACCGATATGGTTCATAACATCTTTTATATCAACATAATTAAGCACACTAAAGAAGGATTTATCTTCAGATATACAAGTAATTACACTGCTGATTCCAATGAAGGTTGCCTTAAGACTATTGATGTTTTCATTTGTTCCAGCATATTTGTTTCCTTATGCAGCTTTCTGGGTCAGCTTCTTCTACTTCTATTACTCATCTTTACGGAGCAGAAATTGTGTGGCAACTTGTTACATTTTTTTTTTTTCTCCTTTACAGTCTTGTATTTGTTAGCAACCTTAATCTTCCATGTTAGAAGCTTTATTTTATTACTGTTTTTGGCTGTGAGGCAGGAAAGAAAAAGAAGGATGGACACGGACATTGGAAATGAGGCTTCCTAGTAGAAACCTCAGTGCAGTTGCATTCTTCCTCACCAGACATAACTTGTCTTCTGACTGTCTTACGAGCTGTGGAGAAGAAAATGAAAATTAAACATATGCTGAGGTGGTATTTAGTGGACTGTAGCAAAATATAGAATTAAGTTACAGCTGTGCTTACCAGGAAGTAGAAGCTCTTGAAGTCATAAATTGATGTCCATTAAAATGACGAGGAATTAATGTTTTACATTAGAAAATTGTTTGCTTAGATGTGAAGTGTGGAGAAGACAATACACGTGGTATATTGAATAGTGGTTTTCATCTTGTCATGGGAACAATCTATTTATTCCTAGTTCTGAAAGTTACAAAAAATTGCAATAGAATCCTTAAGTGCTTTTTAAAAATCGGTATTGTGTACAAATTGAAAAAAAAATTAAAATATATAAAGGGCCTAATAGAGTAGTTAATTAAATACTTGTTAAAAATGTTTAGAACAATCTTATGTTTTTGATAAATTATGAAATACTGAATGAGGAAATAGTTGGGCTGTGTTTTAGACAGTCTAGAATTTATTGCTGATGACATCCTGTATAAAAATTATTATGACCTTAAAAAAACCCAACCCTCACAACCAAGAATGAGCTCAAGCTAATTCCATTCTGTAACTTTATTTCTTAATTCAAATTTGTAAATTGCTGATACCTAATAAAAACAATTGATATAAACTAATTTTTTAATTAAATTTCTGTGTGCTAACACCAGTCTCCAGCTTTCTAAATACTGCCATCTGTATTCTGTCTATACAATGGTCTGGTAAAATTAGCCTTTAATTTCAATTAGTGAAACTAGCTTTCTTATTAAATTGCTATAGTGATTTAGAAATCAAAGCACTAAGGCTGGGGTAGAAGATAAGCTACTATATTGAAATATGGTGTTGAAATACAGTTACCAGTTTAGCTGTATTTGTGTTTTAATTTCTAGCTGCCTCATATCTTACCTCTCAGTTCTGGTAACTTTGTCTTGTGGCTGTTGCATTTAGGTTTATTAATCTAAAAATGACCTTTCTGTTTAAAGAGCAGTACAAGGTGAGCATTTGTTCTGCTTAACCACAGAGCTTTATGACAGATGACTTGCTTTGTTTTTTGTTGCAGTTCTTTTTCCCTTAATCTTCTCTTTCTACTGTTACACATCTTGTTTTTTCAAAGCTGGAACTGAATGATGGCAGCAGCAACTGTGAACCACTCAAGTTAAACTTCCCTCTTCTCAAAGTCCAGTAAGGACACTGCATATAAGGGGAGGGGAAAGAGGATTATTTAATACTTTATATTTCAGAGAGTTTATTTTTGTAGGTTAAATTGACAGGGTTATAAAAATGTTTAAAGTTAGTTGTTAAAACACCAGAACCAACATTAATTCAATGCAGACACCTCCCTGAGTAAACTGCAGAGGGGATTTTGTTACTGTCTGTTTCTCTTGCTTTCTGCCACATGCTCAGTGCTGTCATTCTAGTCTGCTTCACATGATGTTCCTCTGCTGGGAGAGGTGATTCCAGAGCCATTTTGATGCTGATGGAAGCTTTCTGTTTCAGAAGGATTTTGTAGTGCAAGAATGGGCCGAGTGACTCCATAGCATAGGAGTCTGTAAATGTATTTTAGCACTGCTCTCATCCTGCTCTTGAGTCAGAGAAGTCTAGCTGGCATTGTAAATGAAGGGTGAAGACCACGCAAAATGGTGTGTGCTTGATTTGGTTTTGAGGAGCTTCTATGCGAATTAGCTTTTTTGCATACCCATGCATATGAGACTGGTTTCTCTGACCAGTACTGGTCAAACTGGTGTCCTACAGACCTGGAGATCGCTGAGGTGGATCAAAGAAGAAAAATTGCAGTCATCCTTTCTTCTGCTGCTCACAGCTTCAAAGACAAATACTAGCACTGCCTTTGTCGTCTTGAAAGATCAACTGCAACTGTCAGAATGTTACTTCTAATTTTAGTGCTTTCAATTTAAATTTGCTCTTGGTGTGTACTATGTAAAACCTTCAAAGGGTAGAGTCTAGCCTATTGGTCTTCCGCACGAAACAGTATGATCTCATGGTTCTTTTTCAACTTTGATTTCTGTGAGATTTCTCCTTCCCTTTACATGTCAAGCAATGTTGCTTTCTTCCCAAGAAGATGTGAAAATAGAGAAGTACAGCCCTGCTGAAGCAGTCCAGAGAGCCTTGTGGTGCTTGGAGGGTAAGTAGAGGGTTGTGTCCATCCTGTTTGCAAACTATGCAAGCACAGTTTGACCTCTGGTTTGCAAGCCTCTAAGGGTGCACCTTCTTCATCAACCGTCCTGTTTTTACAGAGGAAAGAAGGAAGGGAGCAATAGGGGACCTGGAACTTCTCTCCACCTTCAGCTTAGCTTGCAGTTCTGGACAGAAGCTCTGCAACACTTCTTCATTTGTAGCTTTGGATTTTGTGTGCTTAGCCTGACATTTCTGTTCTCTTCGGTTGTTTCTAAGAGCAGGTTTTGATCTTAAAGGTAGCTATTTCTGTACCTTAGCTAATGAGAGTTCACATCAGTTGCCGTTAGAAAGGCCTGAGCATACTTTGCCTGATCACTGGCTGCGACACCAGAAGGTGTGGGTCTCCTGTAGTGCTGCATCGTGAAGTATCTACAAGTGGGCACCTGGATTGGGCCCTGGTGTAGCTGCTGTACGTTGAGCAATGTGGATATCTGCTCCCCACCATTTGTAAGGATGCTCCATGTCTTTACAGCAAGGACTCCTACATTTCTCTTAATTGGGAGATGGGTATGGAATAGCTGTGGCTTTCTGTGGTGGAGAAAATAATTATGCCATTGACAGGCTGGTTTGAGATGACACATAACAGGATTGTCCATGAGACAACATGCAGGGATCAGGATACGCAGGAGGCAGGTTTGGTGATGGGAACATGGAGATGTTCCCATGCTAACACTACAGGATCCTGTAGCCTGAGGACGGAAGAATCTGCAGTCTGAAGCTTGTAAATCAGGTTCTTTATTGGTTCATAAACTAGTAAGCCAAACAGTATAAACCAGCATTTATATCTGTATTTATAAACTGATGTCGTTTTCTCTTGGTTTCTGTTACTGTAATGATTAAGGGGACAAAATCCTTAGGGAGATGAACACAGGGCAGTGCTTTGTGGATGGGAAGGTTGCTAGCAGTACAGCTTGATCAGAAATTATTTATATTCCAGAGTAAAATTACACTGACAAATTTGTTGCTATTCCATTATTTGCCTCCACCCAGTGCTTCAGAGGTTTGGTGTATAGAGAGGAAAGGTGCTGATGCAGTAATGTTGCTAAGAGAAACTCCTTTGTCATGGTCTGTAAAGACCAGTTGCGTGACAAAACGTGCACCCATAGCAGGGAAAGATCTGGGACCTATTGCTGAAAATTATAAAAGTGGAAGGAAACGGAAATTGCCAGTGTTTCCTCAGAGAAAGTTTTAATTTGTTATCGAGACGTTACTCGTGCCCCACGATCCGATGTCGGGATCATTTAAATATCCCGATCCGATGTCGGGGAAGGTTTCGATATGATCCCAAGAGCGAGATTAAGACACAAACGAGGTCACATGCCGTACTGCCAGAACACCTTTTATTACAAAAAGAAGAGTTATAAAGAGGATAGCGATAGAACAGGATGGAACGAAAGATGGGAAATCAAGCAAGGAGTCGGGATAGGGGAGCAAGAATAGTCACCACCATGGGTCCAGAGGCGAGGCAACAGTGAGGGGTGAGCGAGGAGGTCTCAGTTGCTTGTTCCAGCAGTGATGCGGCGTGGCGTGGTGCGGTGCGGTCAGGCGGTCGTCCTCTCTGTCTCTCTCCCGTCTCTCTCCCGTCTCTCTCCCCTCCTTGCACGTGCTGGTCCTCCTTAAGTACCCCTTCGAGGGCTGTAGTTTACATAGCAATGGCACATCTCTTCATGCCCCCCAGCACTTGGGGCAGGGACATGTCCGGGCAGAACACCCCTGCGGGCAGGGCGCCTTCACAAGTCGGGGTTTCCAGAACCTGGTGGTCTTGTGACTGTCCTTGCAAGCAATCTTTGAGACAACTCTGTAGTGCAATTCCTCACACCCCCCCCAAGTATGTTTTCTGTCTAGAGCTATCTCTGCTCATCTCTCAGCAATCATTTTTTCCGGTTAGATGACTCTAGCTTTTGTAGCCTCTGACCTCCTGTTCTCAGCACTTCTATCACTTGTCATTTTCCTCTTTGTTTCCTTCCTCAGAAATGATTTGCCTTGCAGCTATTTTTAACATCATGAAGCCAGCCCTTTAAGGCACAGTGTGTATTTACAATGGTTTGATTTCTCTCATTTTAATGACATTAATACCACTTACTAATACCAGTTTCAGTTCTGTGCTTAATTTCTATTCATTTTCCAAGACCTAATAGATGACTGCAAGAATTTATTAATGAAAATTGTTGTCTACAAGTCTTCAGAAACACAGGGCTGTTTCCACAAGGCAGCAGGAGGCCTCCAGCACATATTAATCATAGTGACCCCCTTCCCTGTTCCCAGAGTTATGGAGATGTGCTCCTGTCACCCACGTGGCCAGGATGGGATGAGATCCTGGCTGAGGCTGGTGCCTGTCTGGTGGCATGGATGCAGGTGAAACCTAATGCAGAACACCAGCTCCCCCCTCACCTA